AGAATAACAGAAGACAAGTGATGTGGTAGAGCAAATAAAGAACAAACACTGCACCAATTGAATGAAAATATCCCATATGAAGTAATACTCATATGGCAATAAAGTAATCAAAATAGTTTGATAAGAGTACTGAGACTCAAAGCTGCAATACTTCAAAGATGCACAAAATTTGGTTCATATAATGCATGTAAAATTTCATTTCTGCAGAATGTTTTCAGCAACAAAGACAAATATATTTTGCCTGTCAAATGTATTAATTCATGAGCTCGCTTAGACCTCATTCTGACGCCTACAGTCTGATATGGGGCTGTATTCCATTACAATATCCTAATTAAGGCTGCGTCAAAGAAGTTCCAAAACTGTGTATCTGCGTATCACATTTTTGCTATCATTCATAAAAGTGATGTATAGCGTAGATAGTGTTCATAATTGAATATGATGGTGAATTTCAGAAGCCCTGAAAGCTTGATGGAAGATACCTGGACAGAAACACAGGTGGGGATTAATAAGGAAATGACGTCCTTGTACGGGCCGTGTCGCTGTTATTCAGTAAGTGTTTGAGCAGTTATCCGTCTTGAATTGCAGCACTTTCGGGTCTTGGCGTGTGGAACACCGAAAGCGGGCTCACACAGGCAATGTTTCAGCTTTAATGTGTGGCGCCGCGCGACCTGCGGAAATGCCATGTGCTGTGTCACTTCCACAGCTGCCCTCTAGGAGGCGCTACTGAAATGGGGAGATAAGCAGGGAGCATTGCTGGCACGAGTGTTTTGTCTGTAGCATTTTTATCAAAAGATTTGGAGTCACGTTTCCCAGCCAGATGAAAGCAGGAAATTTTATAGCGTATAAAGTTAATGAGATTAATGGCCAAACTGAGAGGGATGAAGAGAGAGACGGAACAAGTAAACAAAGGAAGGAAAAGTGTGTGCGAGTGAATAGTGATGTTTCCAGACTCCACACCAAGGGTGTGCAGTAAGAATGTTGTGTTTGGGGTCAGTTCATGAGTGCGTCAAGTGTTTGTTTGTGTCTGTGGTCAGTTGGCAAACGTGACCGAATCTGTGTATGTGTGTGTGTCTGTGTGTGCGTGCGATTCCAAAACCTGTTATTTTGACCTTGTGGGCACATTTTTTGTTCACTGTCATTATATATATATAGAAAGATAGATCCTTAATGTGAGTGTGTGTCTGTATGCACGCGTGTGTGCACGTTTGTGTATGCATGTGTGCACGTTTGTGTATGCATGTGTGCGTGTGTGTGGTCAGTCTGTAAGAATGAACGCCCATGAGCCTGTGTGCGCATATGTACTGCACCTAGGGCAGTGATTTTTAATGTTTCAACAGAGGAAAGTGCTTAGCTTTGTAATAACTAGGATCTGCACAATAAGGTTAATGGAAACACTGTCAACAGGCTGTAAACTGCCAAGTCTGTCTTAATGGGGTGCTAATCAGCACCAGGGAAACAGCCTTCTGGGGGGGAAGAGGGGGAAAAGCAGCTGGTGGAGGAATGGCTCCGTCAGAGGCGTGGCTCCCTTTATGACAGCACTTTCACAGCGACGTGCGTCGCCACACTGGCTCCAGCGAGATGCGCCGCATGGCTTTTCACAGCCTTATTGCCGTCCGCAGTCTGAAGGAGGCATTCTTCAAAGGAGCGTGTTGTGGTCACTTGGTTTACTGTAGTTCATAAAATGCCAAGAAAATGAATTAAATTGAATTAACGAAGGAAGCAGATTTTATATTCATTGTTTATGTGTGTCTGTGTAAATTAATGATACAAATGGTTCACTTGCAAAATTGAGTCGGCTATGAGTTTCACAGCAACAAGTTTCTTCTTTGGACGTTTTTGTTTTTCTTTTCACAGTGTGTAAACATTCCCTTTCGTTCTGAAGCATTCGTTATGATGTTTACAGTGTTAGATTGGGTTTGATCTTTGTTTGCGGCTGAGCTGTTGGGGCAAACTGCTGCCCCCGTGTTGCGCCGGCACTCTGTCCGCAGTCGGGCGCAGGTCTGGGTGTGGCACACGCATTGCATGCGAGCGCCGGCGTTGCCTCCCGCCGCTGGCTGGCTGGCAGGCTGGACACGGCCCGCGAACGCCCAGCTGCCAGCTTATCTGTCGCCTTCACAGCCAAGTCGAACGAACCATTTATCTCGCGCTTGTTCCACTGGTACCCCGCGACTAATTAGAGCTTGTTAATGAGGACGAGCGGTGGGGAACTGGGGAGACACCGGTACCTGGGGGCTGAGGGTGCCGCAGCATTCCTTTGACAGAAATTCCAGCAGTCAGAGCTGGAAGTCCAAACAATGGAGCCGAAGTGTGTCTTTCTTGCAAACAGTCGGTGTGTTACATGAAGTGATCGGGGGGAGTGAGGCAGAATGAGCGGGACGCCAGTGGTTCACGGCCCCAGCTTAGCCTCCCTCGCTCAGCTGCTCTGTTTTCCCGGGGGAGTACCGAAGGGGCTCACGCATTCCTCGCCAGGGCCTCTGGGGTTGGAATGGGGTCTTCGCCCATAGGTCAAGGCTGCCCCCGCCCTATTTTACAGCATGACGCTACGAGAGAGACCCAACGCCATTAGGGTCTGGTGTCTGCACCGTGTAGCCAGGAAGGCAGGTGACGCCCTGGCTCAGCCCTCCCCATGAAATGTTGGCAGAAGTAAATGGGCCCAGTAATTATATGCATGCATTCTCATTCTGCATGGGGGGCGGCTGGCACAGGGGGGGCCTTCCCAGGTAGAGTGTCATTAGTAATAAAAATCTGCACCCGGTGGGATCGTACATTAAGGAGATCGAAGCGTCGCCCTGTCTCGCTCGTGCGACTAATGAAGGTAGCGGCTCGCGGGCGTGATGGCAGAGCTGCCCTTCCTCGGGGCCCAGACAGCGCCATTTGTAAATTAAAAATGGTGAGAACTATTATGTTCCATTACACGTCACTACCAGCGATGGATTACCGGCGCAGTAATTCGGCGAATGAAAAATGTCCTTTGGATGTTTTCAGCCTCTTTTGCTAATGGGCGCTGCACCTTTGGCGCGCCTCCCCCGCCGCTGAGCCCCACAGCCGCGGCTCGGGTGGCCCTCCGCCATGCGCGTCAAGGAGACGCTGCTTAAGCATATTGACGGTAACCGGAGATGTCGGCCATTAAATTAGGCCTCCCTCGAGCTACGAGGACGCGACCTGTCTTAAAGAAGGACAGCGGGAGACAAAATGGCGTCCGGCTGGCGGCCCTGTCACGAGCTTCTCTGGTTACCGCTGAAATGCTTCTAATGAATCTGTGGAAAAGCCATGAGTCACGGACAGTGGACAGCGGATCTGCCGCCACAGAGACGTGCATGAAGCTGGGGCGTATTCAGCTGCTGCAAACTGGTGCTCTCCGTTACGCTCAGGAGAGAGAGGGGGGGGGTCCTTGTTCTTTTTAGTCCATTGGATGTGATATCCCTCTCGGGGACTTGGCACAGCCCCGATTTGACCCGAGATGTGACGACCGGGGCAACTGGATTAAGTCACTCAAGCTGTCAAATCTATCAACGGCATCTTGCGGATGCTGCATTTTAAGGCTTTGGTTAAATATGGTTTTTTATACTTGAATACCTTTTATTTTTTTAATGTGTTTTGCAGCCACTGGAGAGAAGGTCTCTTGGGAATGAGTGGCAGTGATATATTGGTCCTATTTGCAAAGCAAAGGATCATGCAAGCAGTGCATGCAAGTAATTAATGTTGACTGTAATGATTCACATCAATTACTACATGTATTTATTACATATTAGAAATAGGTACGGAAGGAAGTCAATTCCTATTAACAGAGAGAGATATTTGAATATCACATTAATGTTAATGCAAATTAATATTAATGCAAAATAAACAATGACGTTGTTTTGGGAATTGATCCCTAAGATTTATTTACATATGTTTTCTTTTGGCATGTTTGGCAGCGGCTTTCTGGGGAAGCTCTCCTTGGTGTTGTCTTGGTGTTGCTGACTAATATGACATGACAGGTTACTAGGGTATGGACCATGTCAACCATTAAAACCAGTACAAGATCATCAGCATCTCCAGCTGCCCCCGCCATTGAAAGTATACTCTTGACCCAGGCGGGACATGACTCTGTGATTTGATGTCATGTCAGTATACAAACCCATGCAATCAAGGTGCCTGCACAGAGATTTACAGCCGGCGTTGCGTCATCGTTAGTGCGGAGCTGCGTCTGCGGACTGCGGATCCTGCTGCCGTCTGGACCTCTGCCTTGATTTATTACTTCTTGACTGGCAAATTGCTTTTTACGGCCGCCCTGATTGTGCTTTCGGAGTTAAACAGATAACACATCATAGTAAATATCCCTTTAATGTATGGCCTCTTTGATGTGGAGATCCAGGTGAGGCTTCTCCCAACGTCGCTAGGGATGTGGTCTTTGTTGGAAGCCCACATCACATGACCAGCTAGGGGCAGACATGCAGGACTGTAGAAGACATTCATTTCCCGCTCCATCAGTACAATTTTGGAGGATCCTGTGGCTCGTGAAGCCTTTGATGGCTCCAGCAGCTATGTAATGGGAATTTTAAATGGTCAGATAATGCAGCGTGCGTTTGTATGTCACGTCCGGCTCTGAGATGCATACATCTCTTTCAGCTTCTAGAATGAAATGTGTATCGGCCGTGTTGGAGATCTTCGTTTGGTCTCGTCGTCAACACCCGAGATCCCTGTCATGCTAAGCACATGGGGCTTTTACCCCAGTGTGCATTAGAGTAATGGCCAAAAAGCCAAATCACTCCCAGCTGGTGTTTAAGATCTTTTTGTCCGTAAAATAATTACAGTGCTTGTTAGCAATAATCATGCCTGATTGTTAATACTGATGAATAAAGTTTAATCAGCTGAAGCTAACAGAGCTATTGAGCTATTGAAATATACTACTTCCTTGATTTTGTCCATAATAACAACGGTCCATTTCAGTGACATTATCTGGAGACTTTATCGGCCCTGAGATCTTTTTTTTCTTCTCCCACCTTCTCTCGATCTAGGGCTGCCCACAGATCTTGCCCATCAATGACATCCTGGTACCCGCTGGCGTGATTCGCCCGATCACGCTGCGCGCCCGCAACCTGCCTCAGCCTCAGTCGGGCCAGAAGAATTACGAGTGCGTCTTCAACATCCAAGGCAAGGCGCAGCGCATCCCGGCCGTGCGCTTCAACAGCTCCTGCATCCAGTGCCAGAACACCTCGGTAAGGCCCTCCGGGAACGCTGACCAGTCACGTGTAACCCTTCCCTCCTCGCTACTCTGAGCACAGAGGGAACGGCTCAGCTTGATTTATAAGCCGGCCGGGCAAGCATCTACTTAGAGAACAAGGTATTTGTGAACCATGTTTATTTGAGCAGCAGAAACCAGATCGCTGTGCTCAGACCAGGAATATCAAATACAAGTCAAGGGGACTGTCCAGTGACTTGCAGGTCATGGAAAACTTCATTCTGAAAATCAGTAGCGAAATCAATACATAGCATTAAAGCCTCTTTGTTTTCTTAAACCCAATGAAAAATGTGGTATGTCAAAGAGCTGACATTGAGAGTCTCCCCTCTCCCCCCCCCCTCTCTCCCTCTCCCTCTATCTCACATTGATGTTACAGACGGCTGCCTTCTGTGACCCATCTGGTTGTCACAGTAACCCCAGGGAATCTTGTAAAATAATTAGCCAGGCACAGGATGCGGGTCTTAATTTGGTCTGACAATGTGACCCACTGAAAGGGAATGGGGTGGGCAGGGGTGTGGGTGTGGGTGGGACCTGGGGGGGGGGGGGGGCACAGGATTGGGAACCTCTCTGGAGTGAGGGTTCAGCTGGCCTCTGTAGCTGCGTCTGTCCCCTTCCGGCTGCTGACCCCTGGAGTTCAAAGGTCACCCTGCTGACCTCTGCCCTTTGACAAGGCGATTAATGTCTCCTGGTAATTTAATAATGGGGATCACGTCTTGTGTGCGCGCGCACACACACACACACACACACACACACACACACACACACACATGCACGCACGCACACACACATGGCCCTTCCTTGGCATGCTGGCCAGGATTGATCGTTGTCCTTTTTACCGGTGACACATGCTGCCTTGTGCGCTACTTCTCCGCAGCCCGAGGAAGGCCCCTGCCGTGAGGAGCAACTGTTGTCCTTTCCTGCACATTCTCGTCTCCTCACACTCATTGCTCTTCCGGCTTGGGCCACTCCCACGTGCCTCTCAAATCTGTGCCTGTTCTTACATCAGCCTCACCTATTAGAACCACATAAATAATGTGGCACTGTACCTTTGTGTGTTAACAGTGTGGAATACTCACAGGTGTGATGAGAACTGTTTACCTACACGGATTGGTATGCATATCAATTACAGTCTGCATAATTAAAATAAGCAGATGGAAAATGCAAATAGTTATGTAATGCGGACATAAGGATGGCATTAGGTACAGCAATTAGCAGGTAGGAATTATTTTATTGGTTGCACAGTGAGCAGCTTGTCACAGATCTCTCTCATCTTTGTCTCATCGCACATCAACAGCCATTCCTCCAGGCTAGAGTTCAATTATATGCTGCCTTTTTCTTCCTGGGTTTATCAGCCTTTTCACCGAGATTCATCGAGACGCACACACCCTTCCTCTCTCTCTCCCTCTCTGTCCCCCCTCCCCCCCCCCCCCCGGGTTTGGATGGGATCCTCAGATTAATTGTTGGGCTGATTACCTGTGACAGGGCACAGTAGAGCCCATCATTGCTTTTCTTTTTCCGTCTCCCTCCCATATTCAGAGAATCTCTCCTGAATAGTGATTCTGAGTTAGGTGCAGATTGCACTTGGTCCCAGGGAACAATACCCCCCCTCCAATGCGCTCGTCCATACCAGGCAGTGGCTATCAATCAATACAGCCCCGCCTCATTCCCACAAAGCTGTAGACGGGTGACTTTGAGGGCATGGGGTCCATGCTAATGTAATTGTGAATGTCCTTGGACAGGCACGCTAGAATGAATTTATTGTGCTTCCTGTCTCTCTTTACATGCACCAATAGCTGTTTATGGCTCCTTTTTTGTCTTTAAGGTGAGACAGTTGATTTGGAGGAAAACTGGTAGCCTGGGCATTGAGGTCCGTCCGTTACGCAAGCTCTGGATTGGCACATACTAGTTTGTGAGTTAGAGCTCACCTCGCGGTCGGATCCCAATTTTCGGCAGAAATCCTGCTTTGCGCTTAACGTCATCTCAAGCTGCTGATCACAGGACAGGCATGCATGCACCGGGACGGCTCCGGGTGAGCAAATCGCCCGGCTTTGCGGGGATCATCCAGCATTACGGCATCTGTTTTGACAAGAAGTCAGACTGCTCCTCTCTGTCCTTCCTCAGCTAAAGTCATCTGCCCCTTCCTGCACAACCCCTGCTGACACAGGGCCTTGCTTCAATCTCGCTCTCCCCCATAAGACTAGCTACCCAGTAGCCCAGTGATTTTTTTTCCCGAATACCCAGAATATCAGTGGACGTTTAATAGGCTTTTCCAGCTTTTGGCTTTAGTTGCCCCCTGTTACTTTGTTTCATGTCTCGTGTGTTTCAGACCCTGTAGATGCCTTATGATCCATTGATTCTGCTAAGACATTTTAACATTGAATTCCAAAGTAGTTTCGGGCCTCATTTTGTCTAGGTGTTATTCGGATTTTTTTTGCAGTATCTTTAGTGATTAACGTGATTGCCAATCCTACAGATAGATTTAACAAGCCATAGTCACGGATGTTTCGCGACCCAAAGCGTCCTCAGGTTATCCGGATAAATGCTACTGCGGTTGCTACTAGCAAATAGGACGTAATGGCCAAATGCATTTCGGATCACTTTAGCTACCTTTCCCCGGCGTTTTTCACAATGTGATCTCACCCGTCCTGACACTGGGTTTTCTCTTCAAGCTGTTGACTGTACAATGACTAGTCCTGTACACATTCTGATCGCACCAGCGAGTGAGGCGTTGCTGGCTGACAGCCAGCCTTTGCCCTGGCGGAGTGGTCCTCAAAGTGGCTGACAGATCAGAGCCAGCTGACATGTGGCTTCCTTTCCTCTCCAGAGACAGATTCTGACAGAAACAGAATAATAAGCAGTTTGTCCATGGATTTTATCAGTGTCTTTAGCCTGTAGTAGCCCATCAACCACATGCCACCAGTCCTCATGTCTCAGCCTTGGTCTGCTGACCTGTTTCAAATCTCCGTATGACTGTAAAATAGGCTTTAAAATGACTCTTGGAATGCATAAAACTCTCATCCCTGGTCCTGGAATTGTTCCAAGCCATTTGGCTTCAGAATGCAAGTTCTTATATAGCAGATCGCAGGGTGGGGTGTTGCAAATGTCAGCTGTAAGTCAACGGAGAAATGATGACCGTGTAGCTGTGGCAATGATATTCTTTTTTCCTTTTCGAAATAGTTCTGTAGTAGAAGAAGCATGTATTTCTCTCTTAAAGTGAAGAGAATATATATGTATGACGTATTCTACATGTAAAGTCTATCCACAGATTATATTGTACGGAGAAAGGAACAGTATGCTTTAAAAATGTCGTTTTATGCATTTTTTGTTAAATGCAAGCCATGTCACAATATTGGGATGTATCAACCCAGCAGGGATTAATTCAGTTGCAAATGTAAAAAATCTGCGTTTTCTTATGGATTTTTCTCTCTAGTTTTAGAGGACATTAGATGTATTACTGTGTTTCCCGCTTGTTATCTGAGCAGCGCTTGCCCTTCTTTGCTGGAAAGCAGGGCGTCTGTACAGTTCTGACGTAAACGCAGCTGTCCGTGTTGACGCAGTCCAAACTGCTGGAGCTGCTGAGGATCCTGCCAGGGATCCGGACAGGTACAGTACATTGTTTTTAAAGGGCCAGCGATACCTAAGGGAGATGAGCTGATTCAGCACATATGTGCATTTCTTTTTGTTATTGGCGATCCATCGATGCGTGCAATTACTGTGCGTGTGTCAAGGTATGTAGGCACATATGACTAAAGACAGTTATTCGCTAAATTTATTTTACACCAGTACATCTGAGTTTACGAAGATTTCCTCCAGTTTTTTAGAAACATACCTATCATGTTTTTCCTCCAGTGATGAACTGAATGTGCTAGCATTGTCGAGTGTACTTTATTCTGTTTGCCAACATTATCGATGTTGTTAAAGCGATTACGATTTCAGTGAAGTCTGAGAGAAATTGGGCCCCGAGCTGACGATTTGATTTGTATTTGTGATCTCAGAGGTGCAGGAGATCATTGCCAGACTCTGCATCTTGTATTTGACGCGCTAGAATTGGGCATGAGGCTATACGCATCGGGTCACAAATGTAAATTATTTTCCATGTATTGATTTGTTAGCACACTGCCGAAAGCATGGATTTTATGCCCCATAATCCTGCCTAATACCTCATGCATACAGTTTTCGTTCCTCGTTCTCTTCTTTTTGATCTATACTGCAGACATCAGCAATACACAGCCATTGCCAGAATAAATCTACGTTAAATGGATCCCTTCACCCACGACTAACTGTTGGCTTTCTATACGGAGGAGCTCTCCTTATATATACATTTATGTGATTGTCCTGTTATACGCTGTTAAAATGCACATGATTTTATGTATTATCAAGGCATATTTAAAAAAAAAAAAAAAGAAAGAAATCCAAAATGATCCTGTAAACGCAGTGTTGCTAAGCACTGATGACCCCTTAGCGACAGGCCCCGTTAGCGTTACCCAGGAAACGTGTAGAAGAGGCCTTTTAAACAATGACCAAGTTCTGAACTTCCTCTTGATGGAAAGTGTTCTCACAAAGACTGCTATTATTGTGGATCCCTAGTAGTGCAGCTTTTTGAATGTAAGAAAAGGAAAGGCACTTAACTGTTATTTTTTCTTTCCCATAGTCCCTGTATACCCGCCTGTACTCATTATTGTATTATCGGCACGAAGTGCTCAATCAGTGATTCAGTTCAAATTTAGTTCCATTTTGTCTCGTGCTTTTTACTATAAGAATGGCTTTAAATTAGAATGCTAACCTCCATGTTGGCCGCTAATTGCGAATCTGCTGGTAGTTCCTGTTCTCCAGCTTAGAATGTCTCCTTCAGGTGTAGGCATGAGATCTTGCCTTGGGGATGAAGCAGTTGTACCCTTAGACCAGAACAGAGAACATATGTACCATCTCCAGTGCAAATGGTATGAGTCGCACTGCTGATGGTTAGCATCTGAAATAACCCGTTCTGTGTTCTGTGCTCTTCACCCTTTACACCCAAGTGGTCAGACAGTTGGACGCGAGCCAGAATTAGCATGTTTATCAAATTGTGTGCTCTGCATTCATGACCAGGTCTGAAGCACAATGGTTTCTTTCAGATTCGGGGTTCGAAAGTAGAGTCATGCATCATCAGCTTGTGGTGTTTTTAATGCATCCTTTACACTTCTGATTTGTTTTTAGCAGTTGATTTTTTCAGCGGGGCGTGCCGACTTTTTGCACTCTTTCAGATTTCAGTGTGATGCTTTCTCTTAATTGTGAGATTGCAGTGAAACTGATAGTTGTGGATGTTTTTTCCTGAGGTCATTGCAGCGGCTCTCATGGAAAAGGAATGTTTTGGTTTTCCTTGGAACACAGCGCTCACCTCAGCTATGATGGCACAAACTCAGCTGTTTTATGGCAAATGCATTAAAATCATTCATTCCTCATAAGTTTATAACAACAGCGTGTCTTGTCCTGGGCTAAAAGACTAAAAACACAGATCTGTTACAGATATATCCATAAGACCAGAATTGTTCTAAGTTCCACCTAATATTTTAACAGCTTTAATTTCTTAATTTCCAAACTTCTGAATTAAGCTTTATGCATGTAGTGATAGCCAAGAATTTATGGGACAGTAATCAATCTCTCATGATTTCTGCTTATTTTCTCTTCAGAAACGGTAGTTATGGGTGCTTGTATGAGGAAGCTTTTATTGATGGAAGTGTTTTGGTAAAACTGACACAATGCAGCCCTTTTTTCTACTGTGGGATGTCTGCCAGACCTCACGGCACTGCACAGCAAGAGGTCAGAGTTTGGAAGTTACACAATTGCTCATAATTACAACCGTGCAGCTAACTTAAACACAGATGTGAGCACGCTGTCCGCGAGCAGATTCTCATTTAAGCTTTCCTCGCGTTGCATTTATCGTGCGTCCGGTACTGTGACGTCCACCACACGTGCCACCGAATGACCATGTGTCACCTCCACGAGAGTGGTGAAGGTGTCCTTGGACAGAGAAGCAGAGTTAGGCCGTAATTCTGCTGGTCTGGTACCCGGCACAGTCAGAGCTGAGCGAAATCAGCCCACATCTGGCAAACATAAGTGTCGTCATGCGGCCAGTGCCAAAGGCTTCCATTTGCACGGAGCCGCTGACTGATCTCCGCTTAGCGTCCCGAGTTTCTCTGAAAGGAAACCGTGTGTCCGTTCTCATGTGCCTCTACAATGGGTTTCGTCATCGGAAATTTGCTTCAACGAGGCTTTGCTTTTTTAACCTGTGGCGCAACTGAGGATGCTTCTGGCCGTATTGTTATGCGCGGCTTTTAAAGTCGGCGGGCTCAGATGGTGTTTCAGGCTCATTGATGGAGTCCTGCATACCCACTGCACTTTGTGTCAAGGGGAGATGGGCACAGGGTAAGGTGTGGAATTAAGAAATGGTTTAGTGTTGTATGGTTGCAGGGCTGATCTGAACACAGAAATGCAAATCGGATATTTATCAGCTATATTTTTCCCTGTTATTAACTTGTGTCTAAAAGACTTTTGTTGCTGTGCTGTCGTTGTGCAGCTGACTGATTGATCCCGGATGTGTCAAACTCCCAGCCAATCCCCCACCCCAGAGACTGGGAGGCTCCTGATTCCCGATGAGCTCATTCCTCAGGCCGTAACACCGGCTTTCAGCACCCACAGGAGTGCATTCCTAACTTGAATTCCTGCTAGATGTTTCCCCAACAGCTGCGCAAAGACTTAAAACCTCAATGCTGCACACACAGTTCTCCATGCGATGGGCCGCTGCTGGTCGCAGTGTGCCCTCCCTTCCCCCCCACCCTCCCTAATTTAGAGGCTGCATCTGACATTTCAATCAAGCTGATCTTTGGAAGTGTGCGTTTCGTCTGCTTTGTGCGTACTTGGCAGTCGGCGCAATCCGTCGCATATAAATCTGAATAATGCTGGTTCATTGTGGTGCAATAGAGCTATAGGTATCACATCATATTATCTCTGGTTTTGTCTGAACAGGTATTTTAGCATGATGTGAGGTGTGTGTTTCTAATGCCCTCTCTTTCTTGGCACTCCCCAACAGCCACCCCCTCAAAGTGCCCTAAGTGTTCTGCCCGCCCGTCGATCGATGTGTCTGATCAGCGAAATTCTCCCAGGAATGCGTTTGCTAAGTGCTCTGAGTGTTGCTGCTAATTAAAACGTGGCCCAAGAAACCACCATTACCCCCCCCCCCCCCCATCTTTTTTTATTCACCTGACAAGCAGGCACACAGCACCAGTGAGCTGCATACCCACTGCGCTGCCACTGGAGAGGAGCCCAGAGTCTGTGTGGCTGCAAAGCCATCTCTGCTCCCTGTAAACTGTGTTGCAGGCATGTCAGAAATGCCGCGTAGTCTTCTGAGAAAGAATGAGGCAGCGTTCGGGAACCATGCTGACTGCAGCCCATTGTGTGTGTGTGTGTGTGTGTGTGTAATATGTATGTAAAAATGAATGCTGTCATTTCCACACTGAATGACTTTTTCCTTTCCTTTTCTCACAGTACTGGTACGATGGCGATGACGTTGGTGACCTGGCTGTGGATTTCTCCATTGTTTGGGATGGGGACTTCTTTATCGACAAGCCGGCTACGATGAAAGGTACATCCGTGGGCAACACTGCTGCTTTGTGCTTCTGCGCAATGGCTGGTTTATTATTACACAGCTGTCAGCTTGAGAGAGTGTACTGGTAAGAGGTCTCTGTTTTCAGAAGCTTCACTCATCTCCAGAAGAGAACATTTGCCCCCTAGTGGAATGTTGCGCGCAATACTTTACTTTCCACAACAAGCATTATTTAAACAGATAGAAATATATACATATATAATATTATTGCACTCCTCTCCTCTGTGTAAAGATATTTAGATACATGTTTCAAAATATAGGAAATACCAATGTAATTAACACTGCCAGTATTGATTACCGCTTAAGCGAAATGCATATGTAAATGAGTCACTGAAATATATAAACGCACAGAGTCAAAGGGACTCGCAGTTTATACATCTTTTGAGCAGCATCTCTGCTTATGTAACGAGACCTTTTCAATCCCATTATCTTGATGAGCAAAATATTGCACAATATTGAAAACTGAAAAAGTAGCTCTCAGGCACCAGCGATCTGAATGCCGATTGTTACGGACGGCACCATTCTGGATGACAAGTCCCCTTTGTTACTTTTCCGGCGATTGGCGGGAAGATTTTGCCGCCTGCCGGTTTTTGCGAGCCTCTCCCTTTCATTACGCTAAACTCGTGACACTGAGGCAAGACGGACCGCCCGTGCCGTCGGAGAGAGAGTGTTTAATCTCTGCGGCTGGCGGGCTCGTCTGACCGGCAGCAGCTCTACCCGCGCTCGGCCAGCCAGGCAGATTTCATCGCTCTGTCAAGTCAGCGATTGGCTTTTGTGTGAAGATTAGCGGTGAGGCGCCCGCGTGGGCAGCGGCCTATCTGATGGGACGTTCTGCCTGCGCCGGTCAATAACAGCCCGTGCTGCCCTTACTCCTGCGATGGCGTTATCGGAGCTGAGCGCGCCATCGCTCTCGGTCAGGGGGCAGGACGAGTGGCGGAGGGCGGGCAGCCCCGGCCCTGAAAAATCACGCTCCTGGGAAACCAATCTTCCTGCATGTGTGACTGACTCCTCTGCCCCCCTCCCCCTGCCCCCCAGCCCTGCTGTACAAATGCGAGGCTCAGCGGGAGAGCTGCGGCCTGTGTCTGAGGGCAGACAGCGCCTTTGACTGCGGCTGGTGCCTTGCTGACAAGAAGTGCCTCTTGCGGCAGCACTGCCACACCCCCGAGCTAAACTGGATGCACCAGAACCGTCGCAGCGTGCGCTGCAGCCACCCCCGCATAACCAAGGTACATCTGGTTCCTGCGCCTCCCTGCTGCTAGTGTGTATCAGACTTTCAGTGTGTTTGTGGTTCCCCATCTCTGCACACCCGCGTGCCGTGTGCCCGGGGGTGGGGGGGGGGGGCAGGCATTCTTTACACGCCTGTCTTGACACGTCCACGGCCGCATGCAGATATGGCCACTCGCTGGACCCAAAGAGGGCGGCACGCGGGTAACCATAGAGGGAGTGAACCTCGGCCTGCAGGTACGGGAGATCACCCACGTGCGTGTCGCTGGCGTCCACTGCATCCCCGTCCCGTCCGAGTACATCAGCGCCGAGAGGTAGGAGCTCGCTCTTTCCCCATGTTTACCACCACCGACCCTCTACCTCTGACCCTGTCTTAGCCGCTTTGGCCTTATCTGTGCTGGTAACATTAAGCTGTTAGTGCTGGAATGTAAAAAATGCTGCTCTCAGCGTCTGGCTTGGCTGTTTGGGGAGGGGTGCGGCGTGACCTGTTGTGTGACCCTTTCTGACCCACAGGATTGTATGTGACATGGATGAGTCACTGCTCTCCAACCCCCCCGGAGGCCCGGTGGAGCTCTGCATTGGTGACTGCTCTGTAGAGTACCGCACACAGTCCACGCAGACTTACTCCTTTGTGGTATGTCTGCCAGGAGATGATGCTTTTTACATATATAACGTGGCTGGTGAGCTGGCCTAGCCTTTTCATTCGTTGTGGGCTAGCATAGTGTTTCTGTGTGCTTTGGGCTCACCTTTCTGTCCTATATGAGCTAGCCTTGCTTCTCTATATGCTTTTGACTCTCTGGGCTAGCCTAGCCTGTCTGTCCTCTGTGAATTAGCCTAGCCGTTCAGTCCATTATGGGCTTGCCTAGCCTTTCTGTCCTCTGTGAATTAGTCTAGCCTTTCAAACCTTTATGGGCTAGCCTAGCCTTTCTGTCCTCTGTGAATTAGTCTAGCCTTTCTGTCCTCTGTGAATTAGTCTAGCCTTTCTGTCCTCTGTGAATTAGCCTAGATTTCTGTCCTCT